ACCTTGGAAGACCAAGGCAGGTAGATCATCTGAGCTCACGAGTTCAAGACTAGCCTGAGCTACAGCAAGACCCTGCCTCTAAAACTAGCCAGGTGTTTGTGGCAGGCACATGTAATCCCAGCTATTCGGGAGGCTGAGGCAAAAGAATTGCTTAAGCCCAAGAGTTTGAGGTTGCTGTGAGCTGTGACATCACAGCACTCAACTGAGGGCAACACAGTGAGGCTCTGTCTCAAAAATAAATAAATATAAAAGGTAAATGGAGACCCACTCTATAAATGGGGGCTGGCCATGCTAGGACCTATTCCCAACGTGACCAAGTAATGTCACCATTGAATCATGCATAGCTCTTCACCCCACGCACAGACACCCTGTCTGCCTGTCATATAAAGAAGGTGTTTCCCAAGTGGTGTAGCCAGAACTGGAAGGGCTGCCCATGCTAGGCAGGGAACTGAGCGTTACTGCAGCAGGGAAGAAGCATGGCAGGGAGACCCCAGGTGCTCTAGAGCAGGATGGTGAAGTATGGCACACTTCACTTAATTCTGTAGGACCTAAAGCTTTCATTATTATATACATACAGATTTTTAATTTGACTACATAAACTCAATTATAAAATTTTAACCATGGATCAGGCAAATTCACAGAAATATAAAACTCACTGTCTCATATAAAAGACCTCACTCTCACACTTGTTTTACTGGTATCTGTGGTGAGGCCTTTAAGATGTCTTTACCAAGGCTCGGTGCCTGTAGTTCAAGCACCTAAGGCGCCAGCCATATACACCAGAGCTGGTGAGTTTGAATCCAGCCTGGGCCTGCCAAACAAGAATGACAACCATAACCAAAAAATAGCTGGGCGTTGTGGTGGGCACCTGTAGTCCCAGCTACTTGGAAGGCTGAGGCAAGAGAATTGCTTGAGCCTAAGAGTTGGAGGTTGCTGTGAGCTGTGATGCCATGGCACTGTACTCAGGGTGACAACTTGAGGCTCTGTCTCCAAAAAAAAAAAAAAGGGATGTCTTTGCCATGATGTATAATTTTGGGTGAGGAACCAAGGGGAAGTACGTAGGTGGTAGAGAAGACTTTCCTTGGGAGCATTAGTCTTACTGTATTTGTCACCCAAGGGGTTTCCTCTAGCTTCAGAGGTCTCACTCTTAGTGTTTACCTTGATTTTGATAACAGCTTAATTCTTTGATCTGTAGAAAGTTTTCTGATAGGTTAGTGACTCAGTTCTATTGTTGGTAATGTTCTTTCAGCTATCATTGAAAATTCTTTGTTTCCATTAAGGGTGGTTCAGGGGTCTTGAAAGAAGCAAGAAAAGTCAGATGGTCAATGAGTCATAAAGGCTGTCACCTGAGAGGAGCTGAAGAGGTCAGTGTCCAGAGAGGTTTAATTATTTTATTACAAGAGTTATTGTAGAGTCAGGCTCAGTGGCTCACGATTGTAATCCCAGCACTGTGGAAGGCCAAGGTGGGTGGATTGCCTGAGCTCAGGAGTTCAGACGAGCCTGAGCAAGACTGAGACGCCAGTCTCTAAAAAAAGTAGCTGGGCATTGTGGTGGGTGCCTGTGGTCTAGCTACTGGGGAGATTGAGGCAAGAGGATTACTTGAGCCCAAGAGTTTGAGGTTGCTACGAGCTATGATACCAGGTCACTCTACCAGGAGCAAGAAATTGAGACTTTGTCTAAAAAAAAAAGTTATCGTAGACATTCTGAAAAATGTAGGTAAGCCAAAAATAAATAAATAAATAGCTCTCAAAACTGACCCTTTCAGAGAAAATAACTAAAAAAAATTTTTTTTTGGGAGACAGAGCCTCAAGCTGTCCCCCTGGGTAAAGTGCTGTGGCATCACAGCTCACAGCAACCTCTAACTCCTGGGCTCAAGCGAGTCTCCTGCCTCAGTCTCCCAAGTAGCTGGGACCACAGGCACCCGCCACAATGCCTGGCTATTTTTTGGTTGCAGCCGTCATTGTTGTTTGGCAGGTCAGGGCTGGATTCGAACCTGCCACCTTTGGTGTATGTGGCTGGTGCCTTAGCCACCTGAGCCACAGGCGCCGAGCCAAAACAACTAAATTTTGTTGTGCACCCTTCTCTACAAGTATGAATGTGCAGACATTTTGATTAAAAGCTGGAATGGGAGCTCGGCATCTGTCCAGCCTGGGCCCGCCAAATAACAATGATAGCTGCAACCAAAAAAAAAAAAAAAAAGCCAGGTGTTGTGGGGGGCGCCTGTGGTCCTAGCTACTTGGGAGGCAGAGACAGGAGACTCGCTTGAGCCCAGGAGTTGGAGGTTGCTGTGAGCTGTAATGCCACAGCACTCTACCCAGGAGGATACCTTGAGGCTCTGTCTCAAAAAAAAAAGCTGGAATGGGTGCTGCTGCTGAAGGTTTTGTTCAGGTGCCAGAGCCCTCACTGGGTAACAGCAAAGCACTCCATGGGGTAAGAGAAGCTCCAGGAGCCAGAATGACTCCAAAGAGTATGGCTACTCTCAGGAGTCTCCAATCCAAGGATAAAGAGAGGCCTGGCAGGCAGGATCCTCTCCCCAAAAGCCCTGCTGGGCAGATGGGAACCCCTTCCCAGCCCCACCCTGCCTGACACATCACGTCCTCCCTTCCCATCCATCTCCAGACTCCTATAACATGCCCAAGTCCTACCAATTACTAAGGTAAAATGATACAGTGGGATTGCGGAGGACTTAGGGCTCCTAAGGCCCCACGTCCTGAGACCTGCACCAGGGACAGTTTATCTGTTAAGAGTGATAAAGAGAACAATACCTGTCTGCAGGGCATGCTTCCATGCGACAAAGGGAGAAGTCACCAGCTGTGGCAAAATGGGATTCTCTCCAGAGGGGTCTCTGGAGAGTGGCTTTCCAATTCTTTTTAGCAGAACTGCTGTAAAATACAATCTTATATGAAACCTCAAAATATGAGAGGGACAAAAGCAGAGAAGCTCTGGGCAAAGCAAGGATAGGTGCTTACCTGCCCAGTCCCCTCATTCCTGTGACACACCTCTGAGCAACACAGTCTGAAGAGTTAGGCCTCCTGCTGAAGGCAGGACTGGAGGGAGAAAGCTGGCCTGAAGGAACTGGGATGTCCCAGCAGATCTGGCTGGGTGGCAGCTGTCTGAGCTGGGGCAGCCCCTACCCCTACCCCAAGGCTTACTATGGCTCCCTTAGGGCTGGCTCCAGGATGGGAAGGGCCCGGGAGACAGCCTGAACTGCTCTTTTCTTGGGCTGACCTATCCTGTAAGCCAGAGGACATGTGGGAGTGGCACTGGGGACTCCTGGGTTAGGTGGGGCTGGCCCTGTCCCTATTTCCCCTCAATGGGGTTCTCTTGCTCACAGCCTGAGGAAGAGCTGTGACTCACTTCCTGCCTGTCTGACTATGGGAGAATTACTTTCCCAGGGCGGTTCTGGTTGGGGCTGCCCCAGTCAACAAGCCTCAGCTCCTGGTGAGGGGTGAGAACCCCTCTCAAGAAGGGGGGCAACCAGGCTTATCTCCCAGTTCAACTTGAAGGACCCCACATTCTGCCCCAGGTTTCCAGTTTTTGCAGTGTGCATAAAGTGCCCCAATATCACTCATCCCATCAGTTGAATATTATCTCCATTTTTCCAGAGGGGTTAACTGAGAACTTAAGCAACTTGTCTAAGGTGGGGTAGTACAAAATATTGTCAAAGGAAGTTGAGCCTCTTTGCTGATTGACTTTCCACATGAGTTACCTTACGAATATTATTTAACCTCCCTGGGCCTAAGTTTCCTCTTCTGTAGGCTGTAGATTGATACATAAAGGGCAACTTAAGGAAAATGTATGGGACCCTCTTCAAGGGGCTGGTAGTGAGCCCCTTGGAAAGAGCTCACTGCTACCTCCTCAGGGGAACCTTGGTGAGGTTGGCCACAGTCCTGGGACAGGACAACCCTGAGCCCAGGTTCTCTCTCAGAGGGGTATACAGCTGGGCCACGTGGTTCTGCCACCTTGGAACAACCCAGCCTGGGAAGCTCTTTGCCACATTTTCCCTCTTTTCTTTCTACATGAAGCTGTCTGCCCAGCCAAGCAGCACTTCCCAGCCGTTTTCTAGAGCCCAGGAGAAAGCAGCTCACACCATGAGCTGCTCTGAAGTCTGCTAGTCTGGGACTTGGGCAAATTATTTAAACTTTATGCGCCTCAGTTTCCTTATCTGTAAAATGGGATTAATAATGTCATCTTGAAAGGATTATGTGGATTAAATAATGTACATAAGGAGAAGATAACGTAAACTGACTGGCCAGGTGCCTGGCACGCAGTTGGTTTAAGAAAGCTAAAAAAATTAAAAGGAGGTGGTTTAGTTCTGGTGACATATCCATCTGTCTTTATAGATGCAAATAAAATCGTGACGACTCCTCCAACAGCAGGCCGCGAGGAAGCTCGCCTGCCGCAGCGAGCGCCCCAGGTCCGCCATGCCAGGCACCTAGCCCGGTCGCGCGCGAACTTATGGCTCGGGCGTGGGGAAGCGGGGAGAGAGGGCTGGCCCGCAGGGTCTGGCCAGGGCTGAGCTCGCACTGACTCCCCAAGCCCTTTCTGTCCTCTCGGTTCCGAGTAGGTCTCCGCGGCTGGCTGCCCGGGGAGCTCGCGATGCGAGGAGCCGAGCCCGGGGAGGGAGCGCGGACAGCAGGGCCTGGGGGACGCGCCGGGTGGCCGCGAGGGCTTTGGGATCCTCGGCCCCACTTCCTACCTGCCCCTGCCAGGAGCCGGAGGCAGCGGGCGCCCCAGAAGGCCGCAGAGCCGCTCAGGGCCGGGCGAGCAGCGCTCACTCTCCGAACACGGGGCCGGGGCCGAGGCCGGGCGGGATGGGCCCGGACCGGGTCCGGGGCCGCGGCAACAGCAGCAGCGACGGCCGGGGGAGCGCGGAGGTGGCGCCGCGAGGGGGAGGGGCG